ACACACACACACACACACACACACACACACACACACACACACACACACACACACACACACACACACACACACACACACACACACACACACACACACACACACACACAAACACACACACACACACACACACACACACACACACACACACACACACACACACACACACACACACACACACACACACACACACACACACACACACACACACACACACACACACACACACACACACACACACACACACACACACACACACACACACACACACACACACACACACACACACACACACACACACACACACACACACACACACACATAATTACCACCCCTGCCACTGAAAACTGCAATTCGTGGCCAGTTACTCTTCTTTCGCAATGTGAGAAATCAGCCACCACTTATTACCAAATTAAGAAGTTGTACTCTAATTAAATTGTACGGAAAAAATGCACTTATGTGCGACTTCAGAAAATCAACACCGAAAAAGAAGCCCGAGAAGTGTCGTGCAGTTTTATCAACGTTTCGCCAAATTTTCTCAATTTCGTGTCTGGCTCTTTTCCATGGTCTCCTCCGTTTTCGTCGTCTCACGGATCCTCCCCGGAGACCAGTTGCTATTTCTGGAAGGTTATGTTAATTTTTCCACGGTCTCTGCCCGGACCAGGGAGCTGTTGTTGGTGGTGGTTGTTGCAATCTTGTCGCGACATCCTTTTGTACAGCGTGATGCCGCGAATGGTGGTGCCTATAGGTATGGACGGCGCAGCATGAAGCAAAAAGAGACACGAGATTGAAATTTCGTGGAACCAGACGGTTACAAGTTTCGGGACGGATTTTTTGTTGTTGTTTTTGGTTCGTTTCTGATAAGAGGTCCCGGCCCGGCTGTTGCTGGAAAGGTTGTTAAGTGACTCACGCGAGAGGTTGCAGGTTTTTTGTCTGTTCCCTTTATCGAAACTGGTCCTTTTTCTCACATTTTTCGATTTTCGAGACCTTCCAAAATTAATAACAAGTCTCGGTCAGCTTGGTAGACGGAGTTGGAGTGTGTGTGTGTGTGAGAGAGAGAGAGAGAGACCTAGAGTAGGATGAAATCAGATACACTTGGGATCAGAATGCATGCCGGAGGAGTTGTACCGGACAAAGGAATACTGTGCGGCCTGCTGTAAGGAGCTGGATTTAGTGAAGAAGGATGGCAAAGATGCAAGATAAACCTTTTCGCAGCACATTCTTCGGGTCGTCGTCGCCATCGTGCAAAGCGAGTCCAACAGATGGAGGATGACGACGCGTTGGGGAAGAATGGCGAAAGCAAACGATTGTAATGTGTCGACCACGGAGGGTGCCGAGGAGTGCGGCATGTGCGCCGGACCCTCCCATCGTTATATATGGAATATAATCGGACAGATGGCGCCAAACCCACACACATATTATATTAATCCATTCCGCATATTCAGCTTGCCAAGTTGTGCGCTCTTCTGCTTCGGTGGTGCTTGGTCCTTCCACAGCTGGGTATGAAGCGATGGTTGCTTCGATTTACTTTCTCGGCATGTTTCAACTCGCGTCCGCTAGCACCGGGAACGGACGGGAAAAGAGTCTACGATACGCGATGCTAACATACGTGCCAATGCAGGAAACGGATTAAGCAAATACACAAATGTAAACCCTATTCTAAACAAATTGCATTTATTTTCCTTTCCACAAATTTCCCTTTTCCTTTTGATCCAAGTAGGCATCTTGCTGTAAGTCATTGGACGACTCGATATGTTTGTTTGCATTTCATGCTGTTGGTTTGGCATTCGGTGCGCCAACATTTACGTGTGTGGCGCTTTGAAGTCAACAAACAATAGGGCCTCGAGGTGGCGCCAGCACTGGCAGCGTCTTCTTCCTAATGAGAATTTTGACAAGCCAATGTCATTCTGACAATTGATCCGCGTAAATCGCAATTTGCATTGGTAATAAATTGAACGAACTGCGAATACATTAAGCTCGTCATCGTCACACTCCATTCGCACCTTTGCAAGGCGATGCGATTATTAAGCTTACATGATGCAATGCGAGTCAATAATTGCTCAGCCCTTTCATACGTGACCTGTCACGTAACCACCATGGACCGGTGTCACCGTTCCATCGCCGTATTCGTCGTTATCGTATGCGTTATCGATCAGGAAGCGTGATTCCCACACCTGCCTGCGTTCGTTCCTGGGTTTGCTTGGCTGTTCGCTAGGTACAATATCGAACTTGACATCTGATTTATGCTAATTGTATTCATATTCTACCGAGTGCAGTACAGTAATCGTCGCACATGGTCCGAGTGGACTTTTGAGGTTCTCCCGTCCGTACCGTGTAGTGAAAACAATTGAATAATTAATGATGCCCAGTAAGTCCCACCTTTAACCGGTTTAGCTGGGATTTTCAGACTTACCTTTATTGGGTTTCTTCTAATCTTCATGAATTTGCTACATTAGCAAAATCGAAGATTTCATCACAGCTACAGCTACTGTTTATCAACTCATCCATGTCGTCACATTCCTGGCTAGCAATCAGCCGTTAACGGCATCACATGCCGTCAATCATCCACCCACTCCGGCTTCTTCCGAGAATGACGATGTGAAAACCATCTGGCAAATGCTAATAAAAAGCCACTACTAATGAGTAACGAAAGTCGCACAGCAGTGGCGGCAAGCGGATCGGTTTTCACTCTCTGAAAGTTGCAAGTAGCAGGCGGTGAGAAGGCAGCTGGTTTTGATAGCGAAAAGAAATCCCAGCGATGGCGAACCCCAGCCAGCCAAACCAGCGCTTGCTAATCTCCGACAACTGGCACCGATGTAAACAATCAACCGAGGGGTGATTAACTAGCACTTGTCAGCGTGTAGGGCGTGGGTAGCCCCCGATCACACCACAACGAAACTCAGACGGTGTCGTTTAATTACGCCCTCTTTAGTCACGGTCATGACTAGGCTCAATCGTCCTGTTCGGTATTTCTTTTTCTCTTGAAAACAAATGCAAAAAAGCAAAACAATACAACACTGTGAGTGGAAGAACTTCCATTCCCGATGAAGAAGGTGGTGGAAACATGTGCGCAAAATTGTGATTATTATCTTAAATAAATGCATGCAAAAATGTGTATTCCCTTGCATACGATACGGGGAGGTGCAGGAATATGAGTCGCGTGAAACACGATGCAACCAGACGGTGCTGCTACTCTCGCGCTGGGTTGCCGGATTATTTATGCCTTTTTAAACTTCAAATGTAGGGCCGAAATACGAGACTGAAACTTCGTGCAAATAATAACAATAAAAAGGTTCTTACGGTTGTGCAGGAGAGTCGGCGTTTGACAATTTGAAACAGAACGAAGACCGATGGGTTGGTAGGGGGTAGGACACTGACTGTCGCTCGCTTTTCGTTCTTGCTGTACTTTACGCTCCAAATGTGTTGGAATCGTTTGCATGTATCGGTGTGGGTATGCGAGAATCCGGCGAGACAGTTTTAGCACAATCTGGCGCCGTCATTTAGCGCAAAATAAAACAATAACACACGGAAAGCGAAACATGCATAGAGGAGAGAAGAAAGATGCCGTACCGCAATAAAGCAGAAGCTGTGAACCCTCTTGGAATTGCCAGGGTCCATGCTCACAGTGCACAGACGGCGCAGTAATTTAAATAATATTCCGATCTTTATGAGCCGCACCAAATTTCCTCCATCCAGTCAGTCGCTTGCTTGCGTGCCTTCGAAGTCTGTTCACGATCGAGCTAATTGAATATGAAAGGTTAACGACGTTGCAAGAAGTTTTCGCGACACTGCGACCGTTGTGACACTTTAACTCTATCGTAATGCGCACTGTCAATTGATGCGCCGTCCCATCGGCTCACAGAGCGGAAGGTGCAAAAAGAAGCTCAGCATTGGTTCTAGGGAATTTATGTAACAATTAACATTTACAAGTTAATTTATTGCACGAACGTGTTAAAACAAACTGCACTTGCACCCTCAGCTCTAGTTTATATACGCAGTGTCGCATGTAAACACGAGTGTAAGGAAACATGGAAAACGTGTCACTTTCTGATCGCTTTTTTAAAACGGCTGCTGAATCATGGCCGATACAGTACCAAATCCCAAAAAAAATATCCACATGAGTTCATCTACACCGGCTGTGATGAGTAGGTGGCGCTCCAGTCATCAAATTTCATCCGGCTGCATTCCACAGACGTAAAACCCCAGACGCCATAGAATGGAAGAAAAACAACGCGGCAAAACAACCCGCCACCATAACAGGCTTCAATTTGCATGAATTAACTTTCACACTGTTGCGATCAACAAGCAAAGCAACTTCCAAAAATTTGAGCAGACGCGTTTGCTTCACACCACGCACGGCATGCTTGGATTCTCCGTTGCCAAGATAAACAAATACAAAATTAACTTATGACAATCACGCATTCCAGGTCTAAAGGTGCGAAGATGAAAGGAAGCCAAATCTAGGCACCACTAATTACTGGGAAATTCCTATACAGATAGTTTTCCTGCCACCTTACCGTCTCCCTAAAATTCTATCCGGGAAGCAAGTGTGATGGCGTAAATATGTAAATAATATTAAATCGTAATATCCGGCTTGCCGATCGGGCAGAAGCGCTCTTCCATAAAAATATCCATACGGACACTCGTTAAACTCGTAAATTATTCCCTCTCGCCTTCATACCCCTGGCTTGCCATTCGAATCAAACACGAGCAGTTACACACAGCTACTAAACTGAACCAGGGGTTCGCTCCGCTCCTCCTGATCCCTAGCGCTCGGAGCACGATACGCAATTACGACTTTTCTTCTCCCCCTTGCTTTTGGCTGCTCTTTTACGAGGGAAATATTCACATCTGGCAACACCTGTCAGCCGGTTTTTCTCTCTTTTCAACTTTGTTGCTTATTTTTTTATGGGGCACCTTCTTAAAGTGGCCGACTTTTTGTACGACCTTGTGAAAAAAAATCATCTAACGTATATTTTTTGTATTCTCTTTCTACCTTCCAGGTGCTGCAATGTCCGCTGCCTCAATGGAACGTGATTCCGGTTTTAATTCCGGCAGTTCTGAGCATGAGGATGATCTTAAAAGCTTGGATCAGAGCTCCAGAGATGGACTTCTCACTCCAGAGAACAGTTCTGAGGATTCGGTTGAAGTCAAGCTTCCTCAGGCGGTCACCAAGAACAAACGTAAGAGTACCGAGCCGTTGCGAGTGATTTCCGATTCGGAACTACTCGGACCGATAAAAAAACGTATCCGGTATGAGGAACATGTCAAGGAGGAAAAGGAACCACACCTGGATCATCACGTCAACGGAAATCCTTTCCGACCATGGGCTCCCAGTGAAGAACTACCGACTACCCATCCCCTACCTGCACATTTCCCCTATCCGGCAGATCTGCAGGTCAGACATCCCGGAGTCACCACCTTACATCGTGCCATCAGCCTGAAACCTTTGGAGCACCTCCAGCAGCAATCATCTGCCATCTATCCATCATCCTCTGCTTCCTCTTCTTCGTCCTCTTCCTGCCAACAACAACCTCTAGCATTGATCTCCAAAAAATCTCAATCGTTCGAAACTCCGTCCCATACGATCCAAGATAACATCCGCCACCAATCGGATGGATCTGTCTTCGTACCACCCCATCCTGTTGAGCCTCCTAGGTCCACATCGACAAAGCTAATGCAACCTCGCAACTACAAGAACATGACCCGCGAGCGACGAATCGAAGCGAACGCTCGTGAGCGAACTCGGGTGCACACGATCTCAGCAGCCTATGAAAAACTTCGTCAGGCAGTACCCGCCTACTCCGATGCCCAGAAGCTTTCGAAACTGTCCATCTTGCGGATTGCGTGTTCCTATATTCTAACCCTCAGCCGGATGGCTGGTGACGATTACAGTGCTGATGGTTCGGAACCCTCTATCGATGAATGCGTCGAAATGGTGACGAAAACCATTCAAACCGAGGGTAAGATTAAGAAGAAGAAAGACGAGTAAACGGGGGTTGTGTAGATGAGTCAATCAAATGAGTGGTGCTGTGCACGCACGTTAATTCAAACGCTTAGAAATCGGGGGGATAGAACTGTCAAATGGAATTTGAGTAACATCCGGCCAAATGGTATTTTGCTTCAACGACTAGAAACAGAAATTCTTTTTACTTGGTTGTGGTGAATCAACGACGGATCTGGTTACGTATAAGCGGAATAAGGTTAACTATTTATTTTGCAAACTTCGGACTTCTTGTCGAAGATCTGGATAACAAATTTTAAGTGTTTTTAGATTTTAAGGGAATCGATGCAAACAGTACAAATAGAGTGGAGCAGAAGGAAACTTGCAGGTCTGATCCGTTGCCATAAGATTACTCGAGAGAATCCATTAACCTGAACCTTGAGACAATAAAATCGCCAAATATAAAGGAAAATAATAATGATTAATTGTTGTGATCAGCACAGACGGAGAGAAAAATAGCCGGTGCCATACGCAGAGCCAAGATAGAAACACAAATATGAAACAGCATTTTTTTTTTGTTTTTCGCCATAGCAGATCAGCATATAGTGTAGGCTAGGATGAATCATTAGCACTGATTATGAGTCAATCGATTTACATGTTTTTCTGAGCCACTAAGTCACGTGAGTGGATGTAGTTAAGCTGCTCTTCACTAAAGTTAGTATCTCAATTATGCGTCTTGTAAGTTTTAGTCAACTGTAAGGTATATTTATAAGCAAATCAAATTTGTGATTGTTTTGTAAACAATTTTTAATGTCTTACAATATTCAAAGCAGAAAAAAAACCTACAAATAAAAACGAAAATATTTTCGAGTCAATTTTGAACAAATGGTGTATATTAGCAAAACTATATCACAATTCCCTGAAGATCAGTTTTACAGGTATTTCTATTGGATTTTGTCTAGTGTCATTCTTCGTAACCCGTAATGTAATTTGAAACACTTTGAATCTCAAATTAAATTTAATCAGATGTAGGAACATTCAGGATATGGCATGGTTGTACTTTGTTCTACACAGAAATCGTCTTCACTCCACTCGATACATGGCTGCATGTCGATCCGCCTTGTCCGTTATGCGCTTCTTCGTCTTGTTCCAGATGGGTCGTTTTCAAGAACCATTTCCACCGGGTTGTTATCCGACATTCTTGCGACATGCTCAGCCCAACGAAGTCTTCAGATTTTGGAGGTGTGGGCAATCGGACTACACCGTTATAGATGATACATAGCTCTCGCCGTTCAAAAAACCAAGGTCCTTCACGAGCATATTTTATTTAATCAGCAATACTTTTTGAGAAAATGGTATTTGTAATATTAACTCTGACTCTGACTCCGATTCCGATTCCGACTCCGACTCTGACTCCGACTCTGACTCCGACTCTGACTCCGACTCTGACTCTGACTCTGACTCCGACTCTGACTCCAACTCCGACTCCGACTCCGACTCCGACTCCGATAGTTTTAGTAAATATAACCAAACATATTCCATGAGAAATGGTTAGGACATGTCAGATATATTCAAAGAGATCCTTGTTCCCAGATCCAAATATTTTCTGTGGAGGGGCACATATTTTTTTCACAGCTTCGATCACATCGTAAGGTGGAAATCTTGAAGGTGATTCTTTATGCAATCTACTTAATACAACATCGATAAGTACACTAAATCATCTTTCGCTGACATCATTCCCCGTTGATCAGTTAATTGAGCCAGCATTATTTTAGGTCTTCCCAACTAACATTTCCAGCTTTATAAGCCACCTTTTCCAGCATTGTGCTGTAAAGAAGCTGAAAAAAGCTGCAGATACAGCTACTGTCAATGCAAATATTAATCAACTTTCAACTTGTAGCTGCAAAACAAAGCTAATACAGTGAATATATTACTCATTTGATGGCTTCTACACAACCAACCACTCTTGCTGAATAACATAAACATCAGAAGTGCATTTCCAATAACTAAACAATCTGTACTCAGCTAATAAACTGTGTTAGTGCTACATTGGAAGTATTTTTACAGTCATCTAGGTTTATTTTTAGACTGTTGCAGTTTAACAGCGTTTACTCTGTTCCTTTACAAAGCTTTAGAAGCTACCGTCCCAACAGCCATAAGTAGCTGACTAAGTTCGCTAGATTTGCTTGTATAGATGAGGAAAAAAGGTTACCTCTATCATATAGCATTTGAATACAGTTGGGACTACCCAACTAACAATTTTCACAACGTAAAAACGCTTTGCTGCATTTATACAGCCTCAAGATGTACTCAAATGCTATACGATATGAGGTAACCTTTACTCATCCTCTAAACAAGCAAATCTGGCGAACTTAGTCAGCTACTTATTGCTGTTTATTTATTTATTTATTTATTTGTCGTCAATCAGTGTAGACCGTTTTACAATTGTTGTCTTAAGTGCTATTTTTACAATTTTGTCTTTGTTTATATTTTTATAATATGCCTTAAGAAAAAGTTAAAACATTACTTCTAGTTGACGTTATGCGACGAATTAAAATATTGCTTTAATTTAGTTTTTGTCATTGTAAAGTCAATGTTATCGCAGTGCTTGTTATATGTATCCATCATTTGGTTCAAGGGTCCAAATTTGGCATAATTCGTACGATGACGATTTGTAGCAAATATATTTCTGTTTCGTAAATGCCTAGATGGTGTATATAAATTTAAGGATGACAATAGTTCTATTGAATCAATTCGATGTGATACGATATCGTTTACGAAAGAAATCATAGCAAATTCACGACGTTCTTTTAATGTTTGGATATTTATGAGCATACACCGAGCAGTGTAAGATGGCAGAGGAAATACAGTCCAACCTAACTTGCGGAGTGCATACAATAGAAACTGCTTTTGAACGGACTCTATTCTTTCTTCGTGTGTGATTGAAAAAGGTGACCAAACTATGCTGCAATATTCTAATATCGACCTTACATAAGCAATGTACAATGTTTTTATCGTATACGGATCGTGAAAGTTATAGCAGAAACGTTTTATGAAACCAAGCATGTTGTTAGCTCTGTTAATAATTGTGTTATAATGATCGGTGAAAATAAGTTTTGAGTCTAAAATAACACCTAGATCCCTGACTCTATCATACTTTTCTACGATCTGGTTTCCTAAAGTGACTGTTATATCGGGTAGCTTTTGTTTTCTACTAATGGTAATGGAGTTACATTTTTTTTATATTTAATTGTAGCAGGCTTTTTTGACACCAAGTATGGAATATTTGAATTTCTTCTTTGAATGTGATGATGTCTTTGGCATCTTTTATTTCTAAAAAAAAGTTTGATGTCGTCAGCATATATTAAAACTTTCAATTTCTTAATAATGAAAGATATGTCATTGACGAAGAGAATAAATAAAAGTGGTCCTAAATGGGAGCCTTGAGGAACTCCTGAAGTGACATCAACGGGATTTGATATCTTTCCTTTGTATTTTACTATTTGATGACGGTCAGTTAAATATGATTCAAGCCACTTGAGGAGTGCGTAATGAATTCCCATTTTTTGAAGTTTAAAAAGAAGCATGGGTATGTCAATTCGATCAAACGCTTTGCTGAAATCTGTATACAACACTTCTACATGGTTTCCGTTATCCATTGCATTCAAGGAATAGTTAATTAATTCGAGCAAATTCGTAGTTGTTGAACGGCCTTTAAAGAAGCCATGTTGCATAGTAGTTATTCTGTTTTTAATTTGAAGAAAGAGTTTTTCATTTACAATCGCCTCGAAAAGTTTCGGAATGCAAGAGATAATAGCTATACCACGATAATTACGTATGTCGGATTTTTTACCCGATTTAAAGATAGGCACTAAAAACGAGTTTTTCCATATTTTAGGGAAGTTTCCGGATTCCAGTGACATATTGAAAATCCAAAATAATGGAGCAGTAAGTTCAATTGCTAAAGTTTTCATAAAAACTGGCGGAACACCGTCAGGGCCAGGACCTTTAGATGCATCTAAATTGTTTAAACCCTTTAAGATATCATGAACCTTGATTTGACTTACGCTGATGTCACTTGAAAATTCTGGATATGATTCAAAATATTCACGGTCACGGTCCTCTTCTGAAAACGTAGTATATATTTCTTGGAAGAAATTTGCAAACAAATTGCATATATCATCCGAGTTCTCACCTATCCTATCGTCCAAATGCATCTTTGAGGGAAAATTATCAGATTTTAATTTGGTTTTCACATAATTGAAGAAGTTTCTAGGACAAGATTTTATTTCAAGTTCAGTTTTTAAATTATACTCCTCAAATGCCATATTCACGGCCAAATTTAACTGATCGCAAATGTCTAAATAGTATGCCAAAGTTTCTTCACTATTATATTTTTTATAAAATTTGTGCGCTTTTGCTTTCGATTTTTTAAATTTTTCAGTTCCCTGTTGTACCAAACTGGATGTTTTGCATGACTCTGACGTCTTCTTCTTTTAGTTGGCACTTCTTCAAGAATTATTTCAAGCAACACATTGTAGAATACGTCAACTGCACATTCAACATTTCCTGCAGTTCTTAATATTGCTTGCCAATCGACAATGTTCAATCTATTTCTAATGTTATCATAATTTGCTGAATTGTAATCAAAGATTTCATCAAATTCGCAGTCGTTGGTTCTTTCATTTATGTGAACGAATAGAGAATACTCTATTGCTGTGTGAAACATTTCATTTCTCCATATGGGACTTAACGATTCAGTCACACAGAAATCTTCATAAGTATTTGTTAATAAAAGGTCTAAATAACAATTTTGTTGATTTTTCACATGGTTAATTTGATAGAGTCCTAAATTTGCAATTTTGTCAAAAATGAAATGGAGTGTTTCATTTTCCCCAACGACTGGAAGTAAGATGCTTTCATTGTCCATATCAGAAATAAAGTCAACATTGCGTTGGTTAAAGTCCCCATATATATGAACTTTTACTTCAGGGGGTAAACTAGACAAAATTTCTTCCGCTTTTCCAAAAAACTTATCATACGTGTCCTTATGAGCATTGTTTGGAGGAAAGTATACCGAAGCAAAGACATGTGTTTCGTCTGCTACCTGCGCTTTTACCCATACATGTTCGAATTCTTTAAATTTAGTAGCCATAATAATTTCTGAATTCAATTGGGTCGAAATCGCTATTAATACTCCACCTCCCGATTTTTTTTCCAGACCATTGAAAATTGCGGTCGTCTCTATAAACGTTATAATTGTTACCAAAAACTTCTTCACTTCTCACACTATCATCCCAACTTGTTTCATTAGCCATTATGACAGAGTAAGTAGAACTACCTCTTGGGATGGTTGTTGAAAGCTCTTATTGCATATCTTCTAACGCTTCTATACAGCAGTTCTTCTGCTATTTAGTTGTGTGTAAACTTGAAAGGCGCTTATTTAACCTTTTCTCGTTAATCCAAATAATCACTACACAGCTTGATCCTGAAACCGGGTTAAA